CCCTGAGCCACGAAACCTCCTCTGCTCTTTCTCCTTCTAACTATTAAGTCATAAAAGGATATTTTTTTTCATAATTAAAAATAATTTAAAAAGTGAGGTCTCCCCTAAGAAAGTTGGTTCACTTTAAAATAAATGTCAGCCAAGAGCGTTTACTCTGAGAAAAATTAAAATCCCTACCTCACACCACACACAAAAAGTCACTTCCAGATGGATTGCCAGCCGACACGGAATGCAACATGGTGAAGCTCTAGGAAAATAACGTAACAGAGCATCAGCCTGTCTTGGAGGTATGCAAATATTTCTTAAACAAGATATATATATATATATAGCTATCCAGGGCTCTGGATGCAGCTCAGGGGCAGAGCAATTTTGTACTATGCTTGAGGCCCTGGGTTTGATCCACAGGACTGAAAACAAAAACCAACAACAACAAAAAATCACTATCCAGAAAAGATTGATAAACTAGACTATGCTAAAGTAAAACCCTTTTTTTTTTTTAAAAAAAAAGCCATTAAGTGGTGCACACCTGTCATCCTAGCAGCTCAGGAGGCTGAGGCAGGAGGACTGTGAGTTCAAAGCCAGCAACTTAGCAAGGTCCTGAGCAACTTACCGAGACCCTTTCTCAAAATAAAAGATAAAAAGGCCCGAGGATGTGGCTCAGTGGTTAAGTGCCCCTGGGTTCCATCCCCAGTACCACAAAAAGAAAGAACAAAGGCATCAACAGCACATAAACTGACAAATGGCTTGTATCCAGAACATTTAAAAATGGACAACTCAACAGAAACCAGCCGAGACATTTGAACAAGCACATCACAGAAAAAAACAAAAGGACAGACAGAAGGTCAATGTGTAAAAGAAAAGACGTTCTATGTCCTGACTCATGGGAAACGCAAATTAAAATGACAGTGAGCTGCCACCTCACGCCCACCAGGATGACTTAAAGAGAGACAGCCGACAATGCCGACGTTGTCGTGAGGGCCTGAAGCAATGGAAATGTCCCCTGGGGGCTGGTGGGAGAGAGATTGTTACAATGACCTTGGAAAACTCTTGGGTGGTAGAGATGGACAGACATAGACCACGGGACTCAGGCATCCTGCTCCCAGGTTTATGTCCAGGAGAAGTGTGTGTGTGTGTGTGTGTGTGTTCACCCACAGAATCGGCTCTAGAATGTTAAGAACAGCAGCAAACACGGATCCCCACTGCCTGGTGGATAGGTAAATAGACCAGGGAACATGCACACAATGGATACTACTTGGCAACCAGGAGGAATGGATTGCATTTATCAGCCCAACCCAGATGAATTTCACAACAGTCATGCCGCGGGAGAGAAGTCAGCCCACGAGTCCACACTGCACATTTCTATCTGTTACCTATGCAAAAAAAAAAAAAAAAAAGGCAAAAATGGAACTACTGTGGATCGGGAGGCATACCTAGGTAGGAAAAGCAAAGTCAGGTCAACGTCAGCAAAGTAGGTTTCTCCACATGGAGGGAGAAAGTAGTACCTGGGAAGGGTCAGGAGGGGGCTAGGGAGCTGTGAGGTGGAATTTCTCTGCCTGGATGATCGTCTCAGGAGGCTGAGGCTGGAGTTCAAGGCCAGCCTCAGCAACTTATCAAAGCCCTAAGCAACTTAGTGAGACCCTTTCTCAAAATAAAAAAATAAAAAGGGTGTGTCTCAGTGGCAAAGTCCCTCTGGGTTCAATCTCCAGTATCCCCCCCAAAAAAAAAGAAAAGAAAGAAAGTTTAAAAAATGAGTTAGAAAAGTAGGCTCATTATCTTACAAGTGGTGGTGATGAGTTGACTGGGGTTTAACTATAATTGGAAGGGATGTAGGATACTTGCTCTGTGCTAGGCACTGTTCCAAGTGTTTCATATCTATTCCTTTATTTAATCCTCACAACAATCCTTTGAGGTAGTTACTGTTATTATCCCCACTTAACAGATGGGGAAACTGAGGCATCATGAGGCTAAATCACTTGCCTAAGGCAGTCCGTTCTCTAGCTATCTGGCCCCAGAGTAGATGCTCTGGTCACCACCCCAAGATTATAGCAAGACCTGAGGGCCAAGTCCCACTCCACCACACAAGGCCCAGCACATGTGACTCTAATGGGGCCCTTGAACTTGGGTTGGCGGATGGACTTCCAGGGCCACAAGTACTTGGATAGGAGAAATAAAAGAACCAAAACCCTTCATCACGTTTGCTTTTATTATCCTTCAAATGGATAGCCTTAAAATGCAGTCTGGAATCTCTATGGGTTCCCCAAGATCTTTTTTAGGGGTTCATATGTTCATAATGATATAAAATGTCTTTGTCTCTTTCATTCTTCAAAGGCTCCCAGACCTGTGACGAGACCGTCCCTCCGATGGCTTTTGGAATGAATGCATGCCTGTGCTTATTTTATTTCTTTCTCTATTTTAGTTTTCTACAGAGTCAATAGTAACAGACGTGACCCACAATATTAAAAAGTTCATAAGTTTTCAAAGTGACACTTCTGAGAGCCTTTGCTGTCCTTGAACTTCAGCTCGTCCTCCTGGGGTGAGGAACTCAGGGGACCACGGGATTATTTGTGAACACGGGGCTTTGTCCTTCGAGGAACTTACAGGGGGTTTCGAACCTATTACAGCCATTAGGGCGTCTCAAACGTCTTCCATGCACATCAAAACTTCTAAGTCACCTTATTCCTTTGGGCCTGCCACCCGAGTGACATTAAATGCATTAATAAATAAACACATGACATATTTGTTTTAAAAATATTTGTCTGTCTGTAATCAGCATGGTGTCTCTGTAACTCTGTGTTTGGTTTACACGTGTACAAACATGATCTTGAGAAGGGCTGGCCAGCTTGCCACAGGCGCTTTTAGCACAATGACAGTTAAGAATCTGTCCTCGTGGAGACCATCAGAAAAAATAAATAAATAAAACAAGGGGTGATGTCATGACGGAGGCCACAGTAGTGGTGGTTAGAGGTTCTTGAGTCCGAGATGCTTTTCTTTATATTTTAAGGTGCTATGGGGAACGGTGCAAGGTGGGGTGCAGAGGGTGGGGGCTCAAACCTGCAGAAGGTTCCTCTGCAGTTCAAGTCTCAAGTTGCCCGTCTGGGATTCTGGGTGCTGGTCAGCCACAGAAACCCACACTTTGAACTTACAAAGACAGGAGTGAGGTCATTTAGCTGCAGACAAGAAGGGGTAAAGAGGGGCTGGGGAGATGGCTCAGTTGGTAGAGTGCTTGCCTCACCCAAGGCCCTGAGTTCAATCCCCAGCACCGCAAGAAAAGGGGGGGTGGATCTTTTTAATGCATATTTTGGTGACAAACAGCCCCAACATTCAAATAGCTCACAAAGGTTTGCCAGTTTCTGGAATTCACGCATTCATACTAGTAAAAATACCAGGCTTAGGATGATGCACTTGAACCCTCTGCTATCCCTGGCACGGCAAAAACCGAACCTATATCTGGTTTGTATCCAGTCCTTACTGAGCCAGGCCGGATTTCCAGCATCAACTTGTTTAATTCGCGCAGCAGCCCAGGGGTTATCAACTATTATCACCTCCTTTTTACAGGTGAGAAAACAGAAGTTCAGAGAAGTTGAGTAACTCGCCTAGTGCGCACAGCTCAGAGGCGGCACTGACATTCCAAGGGGGTCTGAGGAGTCGGCGCACTAAGTTCAGAAAGGGAAGAAGCCTCCAGGAGAAAGATGTCGCCGGCTGGGCTGGAGCGGCCGGGGATTCCGCGGTGCCCGCACACCTGGGTACCTGGGGACGGGGCATCGCCGGGCGGGGGCGGGTGTATGTACCTGGGGCTCCGCAGCTGGGCAGTGGGGTGCGTGGGGGGACGAGCGCAGCCTTACCTGTCCCGGAGCTAACCCGGTGTCCGGCTGGGAGGCAGTGGCGACTGCGTGCTGTGCCTTTCTGGGTCCTCTTTCCTGTGCCCCACCCTGGGGGGCGGGCGGGCGTGGGGCGCCTGGGACCGGCCCGACCTGTGGGACCCGGGGCCCCAGCTGTCTGGGGAGCCGGTCACCCCGAGGCAACCAGTTCTTCCGGGGCTGGGACAACTGTGGGCGGCGGGAACCCAGCTGGGCGCCTGCAAGCTCATAAATAGTGCGGCGACACTGGTGGCCGAGACCAGCGTGCGTGCAGCCGGCGCCCGCGAGGGTGAGCCGCGGTCCCGGAGGGCGTCCCGGGTCCCAGCCGCCCGCCTTCGGGGGGACGGTTTCAGCCCCGATCAGCCCCAGATTGTCCCCGGGGAACCGGAGAGAGCCCTGGGGACAGAGAGGGAGGACGGAGAGGGCCGGGCGACAGCTGGGGGGAGGACGGAGGCGGGGAGGACAGCGGCACTAAGGCAGGATGGGGTGCCGGGGGCCAGGGGAGAGGCTGGCTTCTGAGCGACCCGGTGATGGAGCGAGGGAGAGGGTCACTGAGACCGAAATGGAAGGCTGAGGACGGGGTCGAGAGGCGGGGTCCCTGGGGACAGGTGGGACGCTAGGAATCTGGGCAATAAGGCCGAGGAGGCTGGGTTGCTCGAAGCCGAGTGGAACGCTGGGGATGGGGAACCAGGGACACCCCCCGCGCTGGGCGCCACCGAGTCCCCAGCCCGCTCCAGCTGTGAATTAGGGCCGCGCGCGGCCCCGGCGCCGGGCGGTCCAGGGTTCAAATCCTCCCGGCTCCACCACGTCCTGGCCCTGCCACTGAGTCACCCGGTTGCTCAGTGTCCTCTCGGTGATAGGACGATGCTCGCCGCGGCCACCTCCTCCTGGGAATGCGGGAGGCGTCCCGGGTGCACCTGTGCTCAGTGCCCAGCGCGTCGCCAGGCTCAGAGCCTCGCGCTCGGCTCCCGCTGACGGGTCTCCTCTCTCTCCAGCATCTGGATCCCCAGCGCCTAGGAGGACCCCTGCCACCCTCCCTCCGTCCAGAGGAGGGACAGGCCGACTCCACTGCCCTGCGGGAGCCCCTTCTCTCCACCCCTGCTTCCTCCCGCGGTCCCTGCCTGCCCCCAGCGTCCCCCTACCATGAGCCCCCGCCGTGGCTGCTGCGCCTGCTGCTGGCTCCTCCTCCTCTCCTTGGGAGTCCAGCGGGCCCCAGGATACCCCAGCGCTGCCCCAGAGCAAGTCCATCTGTCCTACCCAGGTAAGTGTCCAGGGGTCCTGGCGATGAGTCTCCAGTGAGGCCCTGCCGTGCTTCCTTGGTTGGGGGGCAGGAAATCTGTGCCGAGTGCTGTGGACCCCAAGGCTGCTGGCTATTTCCTCCCTGGCCTCAGTTGTCTATCTCTGTGAAATGGGTCTACCAGCGTCCTGCCTCTGGCTGTGTGGGAAATGACGACGGTGTCCACCCCATCCTGGGTGCTCTCCTGCTCTCCAAAGGGGGCCGCTGCTGCCCCTGCTCACTGTGTCGCTGTTGTATCTTCAGGAACAGGCGTGTTAGTGCACAGTAGGCCCTAAGATCCATTGTGGAGGAAACTTCTAATCCCCCCCACCCCCAAAAGTACTGGGATTGAACCTAAGGCCTCTACCACTGAGCCACATCTCCAGCCTTTTTTTTTTTTTTTTTTTGAGACAGGGTCTCTCCTGCCTCCTGAGTGGCTGGGACTACAGGCATGTGCTTCCTCACCAACTCCTCCTTATCCTGAGTGGAGCAGTCACAGGGGCACATGTCTGTAATCCCAGTGACTCAGGAGGCTGAGACAGGAGGATCTCAAGTTCAAGGCCAGCCTGGGGCTCAGTCCCTGGGTACCAAATCCTGGTACCCCAAATAACTAATTAATTTTAAAAAGGAAAAGGTGTGAGATCTTGTAATCTGGACCTTCTGCATCCAGACCCCCTGGTTTTGAATCTCAGTTTTGCTACTTACCTGCTGTGTAGTCTTGGGCAAGTGACTTAACCTCTTGGACTCCTCATCTGGACAATGGAGTAATAGGAGAATGACTTTGTGGTGAGTCCCTGTGGAGTGGCAGAAGTGAGCCTGGCATGCAGCAGTGATTGGCGTGCGTTTTTGTCTCAGGACAATGCTGAAGATGGTTGAGAACCTCAGAGAGAGCTTTAGTTTACATGTCCATGTCTATCAACATTCACCTACTTACTAGAAATGGGAACTGCAGCAGGGGCTTGGCTCCATGGTAGAGCACTTGCCTAACACATGCGCCCCTTTGGTTCCCCCCCAAAAGCTGAGACATTGAAAAATACTTATTAAGTCATTTAAAATGAGTAAGAACAAACACCTTCTATATTAGTATAAATGACTTTTTTTTTTTTGTACTGGGGATTGAACTCAGGGGCACTTAGCCACTGAGCCACATCCAGCCCTAGTTCATATTTTATTGAGAGACAGTGTTTTTCTGAGTTGCTCAGAGCCTCGTTAAACTGCTGAGGCTGGCTTTGAATTGCAACCTTCCTGCCTCAACCTCCTGAGCTGCTGGGATTACAGGCACGAGCCACGGAGGATACAGGCATGTACCACCGCACCTTGGCTAAGTGACATTCTTAATGAAAAAAAAATCCAGAAAATTCTATTTTGCCAAAAAAGAAATATAATAAGGACGAGGACAGTGGAATCGACTTAAATCTTTTATTCTGTCTTTTTCTTTTCTTTTTGTGGTATTAGGAATTGAACCCAGAGGTGCTCTACCACTGAGTGACAACCCAACCCAGTCTATTATTATTATTATTATTATTATTTTGAGAAAGGGCCTTACTAACTTGCCTAGGCTGGCTTCAAATTTGCAGTCCTCCTGCCACAGGCCCCCAGTAGCAGGGATCACAGACGTGCCACTGATCCCAACTAGATTTATACCTTTTAAAAGTCTGTCTGAACAGGTGACAACCAGACTGTCCCTCACTGCTCCTCTCCCAGTTTTTGTGGCACCTTGGTGCAGATGATGTAGGTGAAGGAGATCTGATCTCACCAGGCTTGTGGCTGAAACAGGGAGGAAGAGTTCAATAGGAGTTTCAGATAATTGTGGCTAGTTTTTCTTTGATACTGCACCAAAACACAACGTAAGTTTTTAAAAATTTATTTAGTCGTCAGTGAACACACAGTATCTTTATTTATTTTTATGGGGCACTCAGGAGCGAACCCAGTGCCCCACACATGTGAGGCAAGCGCTTTACCACTGAGCTACAGCCCCAGCCCCAAGTTTTTCCTTATTTTGAATAAAAATTTATAAAGGTTTTAATTTTGAAGTAATTGTAGACTTCCAGAAGAGTTTCAAGGGGTGTCTGGACTTCTTCTCTGCCCTGCATCCATCTTCCCCTCGGGGGACTCTCTTCCATCACCCCAGCCCTGTCAAGGCTCAGGCACACCCATGGATGCCATGTTGTTAGTGAACTCTTGGGCTCCACCTCTGCCTTTACTCTAATCCACAACCCCAGCCCCTCTCGGCATTTATTTCTACCCATGTTGGTTCCTCAGTCTTTTCTTATTTTTAAGTCCTTGACTCCCCCAACCCCTGCTTTTTCCTCATTGAGACAGACTCTCACTATATTGCCCAGGCTGGCCTTGAACTCCTGGGCTCAATCGATCCTCCTGCCTCAGTTTCCCCAGTAGCTGGGACTAAATATGCACACCACTGCACCTGGCTCCTTGACACTTTTTTTTTTTTTTGGTGCCAGGGATTGAACTCAGGGAGCCACACCCCCAGTCCTATTTTGTATTTTTTTTTTTTAATTTAGAGACAATGTCTCCCTGAATTGCTAAACACCTTGCCATCGCTGAGGCTGCCTTTGAACTTGCAATCCTCCTGTCTCAGCCTCCCGAGCCGCTGGGATTCCCAGCATGCGCCACTGCGCCTGGCTCAGGTTTAATGTTTTAAATAATTTATTTTGAATATCATATATAAATGTTGTATTCAGCATGTTTGAATCTGAACCTCAGAATGGTCTGTAGATTTTTTTTTTTAATTGAGACATAAGATCTGGATATCTTTAAGGGGCACATTATGAGAATTTGATACATGTATATAGTGTATAATCATCAAATCAGGATAATAAGCACCTTCATTTCTTTAATAATAACTATCATGATTTTAGATTTAACAGTGGTTTCCAAAAATATTACAGAGAATTCCCATTCCCCACCCCCACTCATTCCCTGTCTGTGAGCACCTTGTGTAATCATGGTACAATGACAAAAACCATTTTTTTTTTTTTTGACAAAAACCAATGCAGGCTCTCCCTGCATTCCAATTCCAGATTATATGATCTGGAGTCAGACTCTTCAGTTTCATGAGCCTCTATTTACTTCTTCATAAAATAGAGTGACAATAGGGACTACATAACACCCACAGCTTTACAACGGGACCTATACTCGCTCCAGAAAAATGGAGCCCCGCACAGCTGTGTGCATATTTAGTCCCAGCTACCTGGGAGGCTGAGGCAGGAGGATTGCTCAAGCCCAGGAGTTGGAGGCCAGCCTGGGCAACATAGCAAGCTCAAAATAAATAAATAAATAAAATAAAAATTAAAAAAGCCAAACAAAACAACAAAACAGGAAACCAAGGCGTACAGGGCCTTGGACCCGCTGCAGGCCTGGTTCTGAGTCCACCAACTCCCCAAAGTCTGTGCTGTTGCAGGATCCAGTCCCGGATCTCATGCTACATTTTGTGGCTCCGCCTCCTGAGCCCCGTCCAATCTGTCAGTTTCTCGCTCCTTTGTCTGTGTGATCTGGGTATTTTTGAGTAGGATCAGGTATTTTGCAAGACGCCCCTCATTCTGAGTTTGTCTGGTGTCTCCTGATGGTGAATGAGGTTGTGAATTTAAGGCGACACTCCCATAGACGAGCTCTAGCGGCCCTTTCTCTGATTGATAGCAGAGGGTCCCTGATGTGGGTGTGGCTTTTGGCTGCTGCCGCTGCTGTTGACCTTGACGGCTTGGTTAAGGAGACAGATGCCTGCTGGCTTTCTCCGCCTAAAGTCATTATTCTCCTCTTCACAGTTAATAAATGGCTTGAGGGAGCAGCTCAAGACTCAGAAATCCTATTCTCCCCCAGTGTTCACCCACTAATTTTAGTATCAATCAGTGGATTTTGTCTGCAATAATTATTAGTGTGGTGCTTGCCTAACTGTGATAATTTTCTCATTCTCTCTTTCCACCTAATTGAACTGTTAGTATAAGGAGGAGTGGTCCCTCCCTCCTCCGCTTATTCAATTATTTACTCCTATCATGGACTCATGGGTATATCTTATTTTTCTTTTTGTGTTTTTGTTTTGTTTTGTTTCATTCTGAGGATTAAACTCAGGGGCACTTAGCCACTGAGTCACATCCACAGCTCTATTTTATATTTTATTTAGAGACAGGGTTTTTCTGAGTTGCCCAGGGCCTCGCTAAGTTGCTGAGGTTGGCTTTGAATTTGAGATCCTCCTGCCTCAGCCTCCCAAGCTGCTGGGATTTTAGACGTGCACCACTGCACCTGGATCATGGATATTTCTTTTATTCCATAAGTGAATTCCAATGCTATTGTTAATTATTCTGCGGCTCACAGTGTCCTGGATTTGGTCCTTTGGGATTGCTCCTGATTGGCTTCTGTGTTCTTTCTTTCTAACAACCCCCCCCTGTTTTGAGCGCTTCCTCACTTTCTGACACCATAAATGATTTCCTGCCCCTTCCTGGGAATCACCTATTCTCCAGGGAGTCCGAACTCCTTTTACTGGAGAATGGTATTTAGACACCAGTCTCATCACCAGGTGTGTTCACTGGGCCTGGGGTGTCACTGGTTCATCTCTCTCAATAAGCAGAGCAAGGCGGTCCCTGCACACAAACACGCACACCGCACATCTAGATGTCTGTATTTGTCTGTGTCAATATCGACATCACGAGCTCCCGCTGATACCTCTGATTTCCACCTAACTTTCGTGTGCTGGAGGAAGAGCCCAAGTCCGCAACATTATGCTAGACCATCTGGTATTTTGACGCCTTGACTTGGTTGCTGACATTTAACTGAACCAACCCCTTTCCTTACTTGTGATCTCTTTCTCCAACACCGAGGAGTCTGACTCTCCCTCCCACCTACCTACGTGCCTGTTCCACCTTAGTGTATATGAAGCAGCCTCAGCAAGGACACTGGTCCCCCTCCCCCCCAGTTATTCTCCTCCCCTACTCCCTTGAGTGTGCTGTGCTAGTCATTTTTTTTATATCACGGGGGCCATGTGGTAGTGCTTATATTTCATATTGGGTTCCTTCCACACGCTGGGTGGTCTTATTTATTTATTTATTTACTTATAATATTTATTTTTTTAGTTGTGGTTGTCACAATACCTTTATTCCCTTCATTTATTTTTATGTGGTGCTGAGGATGGAACCCAGGGCCTTGCACGTGCTAGGCGAGCACTCTACCTCTGAGCTACAATCCCAGCCCAGATCACACTCGTGTGCCTTTTTTTTTTTTTTTAATTTAATTATATTCCTGGAAATCATGCCATGACAGTGCATAGAGCTTCTTCTTTGTGTGTTGTACTAAAGATTGAATCCAGGATCTAGCACATGCTGAGCAAGCACTCTACCACTGAGCCACATCCCCAGCCCCATTTATCTTTTGAGACAGGGTCTCACCAAGTTGCTGAGGCTAGCCTTGAACTTATGATCCTCCTGCCTCAGCCTCTGGGATTTCAGACATGCATCGCAGCGCCAGCTCCTCATTCACGTTTGCCTCACTGTGTGGGTGGTGTTGAGGCTCCCTCCCATCCACAGGCATTTAGGTTGTTTCTGGAAGTTTACAATGACAATGAGTGCTGCCACCGCTGACCCTGTGCAGGCACACTTTCGTGTGCTGGAGGAAGAGCCCATGTCCGCAACATTATGCGAGACCATCTGGTATTTTGACGCCTTGACTTGGTTGCTGACATTTAAGAATTGGAAGCTACCACTTAAAAACCCGAATTTGCATATCTATCTATATTGTATGCTCCCGGGAGATAAAAGAAATCTCTGTGTAAAGATTTACTCTAGAAGTCGATAGGTTTGGTGGCGCCCCGCCAGTTCCTGCCTGGCAGCTCTCCAGAGCTGGGCCACCGCTGTCCCTCTTGGAGAGGGCGTGTTCCACGGTTTGCGCATGCTCCGTTGCCTGCTGCCTTACAGCTGGCCCTTGTCCCGGTTCATATCACCTCCCTGGCCTCCAGACATCTGCATTGGCATCTCTCGAATGACATCACGTGTGTGCAATGTTTAGTTAGCACAGAGCCGTGCACAGTGAAGAATATTGATAACGATATTCATTTAACCCTGACTGTATCAGGCATTGTTTCAAGTGCTTGGCTTCCAGTCTCAGTAGCCACCAGTGATTGGTTCTAGAACCTTCCGTGAACACCAAAGCCTGCTGATGCTCATGCCCAAGTCATCCAGTGGCACAGCCTTTGCACATAACCTCTGTGCCTCTACCCGTGCACTTTAATGCCTCCCTAGATCACGTACAATACCTAACACAACACAAATGATTGCTCACTGAGTTGTTTGGGGAACCAGGCCAAGGGAAGACTCTCCGTGTGTTTACTACTGACTCATTATTTCCCCCCGGAACATTTTGAACCCCCAGTTAGTTGAGGGTCAAAAAGGATGTGGAAATCGCGGACACGGAGGGCTAATTTACTTTAAAACATATATTTTTAGGTGTCAATGGACCTTTATCATATTTATTTATATGCGGTGCCGAGCATGGAACCCAGGGGCTCACACATGCTAGACAAGGGCTCTATTAGATATATTAAATATATAAGTGCTCTATTATATATATTAAGCTTATTTTTAGTATTTATTTTTTAGTTATAGGTGGATGCAATATCTTTCTTTATTTCTGTGTGGTGCAGAGGATCGAACCAGTGCACCACCACTGAGCCACGACCCCAGCCCCCTGTATATCTATTTTTTCATCTAAGCTTGGTAATGACCTTGCAGGGGACCTGGTATCGTCACTCCGTTTACACCCAGGGGAACCGGGGCTGGGGCGGCGCGGCGACCGGGTGTTGTACTTGGGCAGCTCCCGGGTCCTTAGCCGACGGCTCTGCCAGCGCCCCTCCTGCCAGCCCCAGCGCCCAGGCCCCTGACCCGTGCCCTCCCGCAGGTGAGCCGGGCTCCATGACGGTGACCTGGACCACGTGGGTCCCCGCGCCATCCGAAGTGCAGTTCGGGCTGCAGCCGTCGGGGCCCCTCCCGCTGCGGGCGCGGGGCAGCGCGCGGCCCTTCGTGGACGGCGGCATCCTGCGGAGGACGCTCTACATGCACCGGGTGACGCTGCGCCGGCTGCTGCCGGGGGCGCAGTACGGTGAGCGCCCAGCGGCCGGGGTCCCCGGGGGCCCGGGTCCCCGAGAGCTGGAGGCCCCCGTCGGAGACAGGAGCGCACCGATGATGCCGACGGGCGGTGGCCGGGTGGATTGGTGACCCTGCCCACCGCGCCCCCGACCCCGGGCAGCGGGACGGAGCCAAGGAGGGCAGGGGCCTCCCCTGTCACCCTGCCTGGGGCGATGCGCTGACCGTGGCCTTTCTCGTCCCCCCAGTTTACCGCTGTGGCAGCGCCCAGGGCTGGAGCCGGCGGTTCCGCTTCCGGGCCCTGAAGAACGGGGTCCACTGGAGCCCCCGCCTGGCTGTGTTTGGGGACCTGGGGGCCGACAACCCCAAGGCCTTCCCCCGGCTGCGCAGAGACACCCAGCAGGGCCTGTACGACGCCGTTCTCCATGTGGGTGAGGCATCGGCCCGGGCGCTGGGGACGGAGGGGCGCCCCGGAGAGGGACAGGGACAGGGACCAGGCTGGCCCGGAGGTGGTGTCCGAGGGTCACCAGCCTGCCCAGGTCACAGTCCCAGCTCGGCCCCGTAGGGTGAGAGATTTTCCCTGTATAATAATGAAAATAGGTTGGGCCTGGTGGCCCGCAGGTCACCCACTGACTCAGGAGGCCGAGGCAGGAGGATCGCAAGTTCAAAGCCAGCCTCAGCAAGTTAGCCAGGCCCTAAGCAGCTCAGCGAGACCCTGTCTCTAAATAAAATATTTAAAAAGGGCCTAGGAATCAACAACAAGCCAAGGTGCTGCCTCTGAGTCCCTGTTGTTATCGCTGTCACCGTCCTAGGGGTCAGGGCTGGAAGATGGGGTGGGCCCTGCGTGGTTCACAGCACCAGCTCTGCAGTCAGGTCCCCTGATGGGACTCCTGGGTCTCACTTCCCAGCCGTGTGGCCTGGAGCCTCAGTTTCTCCATTTGCCACGGGGACAGTCAACACCCCTTTCTGGGGATGTTGCGGAGGTCGGAGTGACCGGGTGTGCGAGGCATTTGGAGTTGAGCTCGGGACACAATCATCCCCAAACTCTATGTGTACTGATGTCATTGTTGATCTGGGAGGGGACAAGTGACAGAGATGGGGGCTGGCGTGATCAGAGTGCAACAGACAGCATCCTCCGAGGGGGCTTGGGGACCAGACAGAGCATGTGCGGGTGGGTTGGGGTAGGGATCTGGGACCCAGGGGTGTCACAGCTCCCCCCAGCCACACCTGAACCACCAGGTCGGCTCTCGGTTCTGGCCAAAGCAGAGCCCCGTTGGTCCGACTCTCTCCCTGCCACTTGGCCCCCAGGAGACTTTGCCTACAACATGGATCAGGACAACGCACGCGTCGGGGACAGATTCATGCGGCTCATTGAACCCGTGGCCGCCAGCTTGCCGTACATGACATGCCCGGGGAATCACGAAGAACGCTAGTGAGGATCGAGGGCTGTAGGGGTGGCAAAGGCTGGGTCAGTTGAAAATGGCTTTGTCCTTCTTAGTGTCTCACCTTAGTCCCTCATGCTGCTGTGTCCCATTTGTAGTAGCCAAAAAAGAGGAGATGAGGGGTGGGCTGGGAGCTGGACGCTGGGTCTGACAGTGCAGAGGTGGGCTTGGGGCTGCAGCTCCCAGACCCTCACCCTCACCCTCTGACTTGCTTTTTTCTAGCAACTTCTCTAACTACAAGGCCCGATTTAGTATGCCAGGGGACAATGAAGGCCTGTGGTACAGGTAATCTGGGGAGAGCTGGCGGGTTGGCCTCGTTCCCCTGAAGGACCAGAGGTGCAGAGGAGACCCCCAGCTCTGACCCCTGCCCTTGGACCCCCCAGCTGGGACCTGGGCCCCGCCCACATCATCTCCTTCTCCACCGAGGTGTATTTCTTTCTGCATTATGGCCGCCACCTGGTCCAGAGACAGTTCCGCTGGCTGGAGAGCGACCTCCAGGTAGGTGGGTGGAGGCCCCTTGTGCCCGGGCCGGTCTCCTCTCTTCCTTGGCCTCACCGGGCCCTTCTCTCTAGAAAGCCAATCAGAACCGGGCGGCGAGGCCATGGATCGTCACCATGGGCCACCGGCCCATGTACTGCTCCAACGCCGACCTGGATGACTGCAGGTGGCATGAAAGCAAGGTGAGGACCCTCCGGGGCCGGGCGGGGCGGGGCGGGCAGCCAGGTGGCACCGCAGCCTGGGCCTCCCTCACCGCCTGCGCATCCACCAGGTCCGCAAAGGCCTCCACGGCAGGCTGTACGGGCTGGAGGATCTCTTCTACAAATACGGTGAGTGAGCCTTGCCACCCCCTGGCCCCGCCCGCCCGCCCGCCCCACTCAGGGCCCTGACCCCGTCTTCCTGCGTCAGGAGTGGACCTGCAGATCTGGGCTCACGAGCACTCCTATGAGCGACTGTGGCCAATTTACAACTACCAGGTGAGGCTCCCAGACAGACGGCCCAGGACCCTCGGGGCTGAGGTCAGTGTGGACACGGCCCCTGGACACGCCCGCCCTCCTGTCCCTTCTCCAGGTGTTCAATGGCAGCCTCAAGTTTCCCTACACCAACCCTCGAGGCCCGGTCCACATCATCACAGGATCCGCGGTGAGCCCCCGGGGACAGGGGCCTTGCTCTCTCCCCTTTGGATAGATATATGTGCATATATACATAGTTTTCTTTTCTTTTTTTTCCTGGTACTGGGGATTGGACCCAGGAAGGCTCTTCTTCTGAGCCACATCCCCAGCCTTTTTTTTTTTTTTTTAAATTTTAAAACAGAATCTCACTAAATTGCTGAGGCTGGCCTTGAACTTGCCATCCTCCTGCCTCAGCCTCCTAAGTCGCTGGTTACTGGCGTGCACCGCCGTGCCCAGCAAGAGGGTTTATTTTTAAAGTCGATTCTTACAAGCGATTAAGACCAAAGTCAGACTCGCCGGGGATCGAGATTCAAACGGTGCAGAGGGCAGGAGGTGAGCCTTGGCCGCCACGCCCCCCCTGCTGTTCTCGGTCCTCGTGTCTCTTGGGTGGCATTTGAAGCTGTTCCCTGCATATAGAAGTGAGTGATTGTCGAGACTGAGATGTGTTCTCGGATCCCCACTTTGCAAAGAGGACCTGGATCACGCTCAGACCCGGGGTTCTCAGTCTTGGGGCACATCAGCATTACCCAGGGGGCTTTTACAACTCAAAGTCTGGGCCCGCCCCAGACAAAACACGGGTCTTTGAGGGCGGGACCCTGACCTCAGACACACCTTGGAGCTACCACCTGGAAGAGGAAATAGCCGGTTACCAGGGTCTGCTGGCTTCTCCTCCTCCTCCCAGCCTCGGCCCACAGTGGTCACTATTCTGACCTTCCTCATTTGATTGATGGATGGACAGAGTGCTGGGGACTGAACCCAGCAGCCTGTACCTCTGAGCTCCATCCCCAGCCCCTTTTATTATGGTCCGACACACAGTCTTGCCAAGTTGCCGAGGCTGGCCTTGAACTTGCCATCCTCCTGCCTCAGCCTCCCAGGTCGCTGGGATCACAGGACCGTGTCGATGAACTGGGCTCCTCTCATTTCCAATTGTGAAGTGATCTCAGACGTAGGGGCTGAGAGGTTGCAAACATGACATAAGGAGGTTCCATGTGCCCTTCACCGAGATTCCCCAAACTTGAACCTTTAGCCTCATTTGTGTTAATCTTACCCTCTCTCCTCTTAAGTCCTATTTTTAGATCCATTCAAAAGTACATTGCAGGGCTGGGCTGGGGCTCAGGGGTAGAGCGCGTGCCTGGCACGGGTGAGGCCCTGGGTTCCATCCCCAGCACCCCATAAAAATAAATAAGTAAAGGTTTTATGTTCATCGACAACTAAAAAAAAAAAAAGAAAGAAAGTCGCAGACATGAATTCCTTTTACCCATCTGTGTTTCCTTTAACAAAGGACATTCTCTCTCATCACTCAGTGTGATGACCAAAGTCATCGTTAACATGGGTAATACGCTGTCACCCAACCTACCGGCCTGATTCAGATGAGCCAATCAAGGCCAAAATAATCCTTCCCCAGCCCAGACCTGGGCCGTGGTCACGTGTTGTGTTTAGGTGGCTTCTCTTTAGCTTCCTCTAATCAGGGACATTTCTCCACTCTCTCTCCATCTTTTGACATTGACAATTCTGAAGATTCTGTGACATTGCTTTGTAGCGTATCCTTCAACTCGGGTTTGTCCAACGTTTGCCCATGATTAGATCAAAGTTCTACATTGGGGGGGACAGGGAGTAAGTAGCAGGGATTGAACTTGGGGGCCCTCAGCCACTGAGCCCCATCTCAGCCCTATTTTGTATTTTCTTTAGAGACAGGGTCTCACTGAGTTGCTTAGCGCCTCACTTTTGCTGAGGCTGGCTGTGAACTCGAGATCCTCCTGCCTCAGCCTCCTGAGCCGCTGGGATGACAGGCGTGGGTCTCGGTGCCTGCGAGGTCATGCATTTTTTGGTCACAACAGCAACCCTGGGTTGTCAGCGGGTCCTTCCAGGAAGCAGCGAGGCCTCTTGGACTTCTCGAGCCTCCTGTTTCCCAGCTGGGCATGTGGCCTGGTCTGAGTGGCTCCTGGCTCTTGCTTCAATCACTTGTCACCAAACGGGGTACAAAATGGTGATTTTTGAGTCTCCCTCCTCTCCGCCTGTGGAGGCTGCTTCTCTCCTGGCATGGACTCTTCCTGCCTCGGGCCTGGTGTCTTAGAAAGCTCTCTCAGAGGGTCCCCTGTGGCCGGGGGAGACCCACTGATCTCTTCTATTCTTCAAATGGCTTCTGCCTTTCCATGTGCGTCTCCCCAGCTTCGCGGTGGTCACCCCGGGAGGTATCTAGCTCAAGGGCCTGGGGCATTGGGGGGCTGCCATTGGGACACAGCCGGGTGCTTTTCCAGAAATCCGAAGCCCAGCGGGAGGAAGGCTGGCCAGGCCCCGCGCCCCCGGAACACGGCTGTCAACTGGCTTTGTCCCTCTGGGGGGCAGCAGGGCCTGGCCTGACGGGTCCTTTCTGTTCCTTTGGGTCCTGAACCTGCCCCAGCTCCGCCTCTGACCCACTCTTCCCCGCAGGGCTGTGAGGAGCGACTGACCCCCTTTAGCATCTCCCCGGGGCCCTGGAGCGCCCTGCGCGTGAAGGAGTATGGGTACACCCGGCTGCACATCCTCAACGGGACCCACGTCCACATCCAGCAGGTGTCTGATGACCAGGTCAGTGAGGGACGAGTCGTTAGAACCTGGAACTCAGGAATGAATAAGTCTCAGAGCTTGGGAGGCTGAGGCAGGAGGATCCTGAGTTCAAAGCCGGCCTCGGCAAAAGTGAGGCCCTAAGCAACTCAGTGAGCCCTTGTCTCTAAATAAAATGCAAACTAGGGCTGGGACGGGGCTCAGTGGTCGAGGGCCCCTGAGGTCAATCCCCGGGACCAAAAATAAATAAGTAAGTAAATAAGATAAAGCACTAGAGCTGGAAATCCTGGGTTCAAATCCTGCCTCTGCCTCTGCCTCTGGCTGCCCTGTCCTGATGCTCCCCTCACCAAGTACAGCCGGGAGCTGCGCTCAGACTCACACGCCTCGGGTCACACAGACGGGGTGTGCTGGGATATACCGGGTGCCTGGAGTCCAGGATCTGTGTTCTTTTAAAAAATTATTTTTGGTCCTGGAGATGGAACCCAGGGTGCCTTACCACTGAGCTACGTCTTTGGCCCTTTTTATTCTTATTTTGAGACTGGGTCTTGGTAAGTTGTTTGGGGCCTCACTAAATTGCTGAGGCTGGCCTCCAACTTGTGATCCTCCTGTCTTAGCCTTCACAGTCATTGGGATTACAGGTGTGCAGCACAGTGCCTGGAGTTGAGACTGTGTTCTTAATAACAGCCGCCTCCACTTCCCCAGTACTTGTCGCATCTGGGCTCCCCTTTTGCCCCTGTACACATATCTCATTTAATCCCCACAGTGTCTACGACAGAGGTTCCACCACTACCGTCTTTTTCTTTTCCTGGACTGGGGATGAGCCCAGGGCTTCGCACAAGCTTGCAAGCTCTCTCCCACTGAGCCACTTCCCCCGCCCTCAGCTCTACTTTTCAAATGAAGAAAATATCAACTCAGAGAGGTGTAGCAATTTTTCCAGGGCCACCCAGCCCATCAGGGGCAGGGACAGGTGCTGAGCACAGGCCGCTGGCCCCCGGGCCAGGCTTTCAGCCCTCAGAGCCTTCCCTGGTTCTGTCCTCTGCAGGATGGGAAGATCGTGGATGACGTCTGGGTGGTGAGACCCCTGGTTGGCCGGAGGATGTACCACTAGGGATGGGGGCCACTGTCATCGGGCACTTGCCGCCGTGGACAGTACGACTGGACATTGCTGTGACTGGGTGGGGAGTCAGGCGGGTCCCGGCTCCCTACTCCCTAGAGGCCCTGTGTGTCCTGACGGGGCTGGACAGTGGGAGCCTGGCTGCAGGGGGACCGGCGTGACAGTGGAGCTGGCCCGGGTCTCGCCTGGCACAGACCCCCTCCTGGGTGGCATCGGGCACCGGCCTTGGGAATCAAAGGCTCCCAGCGGTGGCTCTGGGACAGGGGTCTGTGAGGGTGACAGGGACAGGAACTCGAGTCCACCACCTCCACCGAACCCTGCCCGGCTCTCTGGAGACGGTCTCTCCCGCTGGACTGTCAACCTGGGCCCGGGCAGAGCCAGCTGCTCCCAGGCAGCTGCACACAGACTCATTACATGAATGAAGGTCGCCACGTGTCCGGCTCTGGCCAGGGGACACTGGGGACAGCAATGAATCAGCCCCAGTCCTGCCCACTGGCAGCCCACAGGCAGCAGGGGAACCGTCATCCAACCCAGGTGACCAACGAGGAACGGGGGAACATCACGGAGGGACCAGGGCTGCGAGGTCACGGCTCAAGGCTGAGCTGGTGTCCCCTGTGGGCCTGGCATGTCCCGTCCCGGGCTGGGTGAGGCTGTGGACGTGCCTGGGCCGTGGCGTCCACAGAGGGCAAAGGCCTGGCACTGAAGCCAGATGGCCACTGGATTCAAGTCTCAGCGGTGGTGAAGTGTCACCCCCTTTCTCCACTGAGAAGTCCTACCTGGGCTGCTCCAGACATCCCCACCACGGCTGACTTTAGGGCTGTCCGCAGAAGAGTCTCTGCAGCAGAGTCCATTGTAGATAAACTTCCTATTTTCCTGTCGCCCTGTTTACTTGGCCACTGGCCGGGAAGATACCAGCACTCCAGGTGCTGGACACCCCGTCACTAGTTTTTCACAAACATGTATCCAGTAGAGTAGTTTGTAGAAATGTGCAGACAAGGCCTCTGGCCTCGGGCTGGGCTTCACAGAGATGTCTACATTCCTTAGAGGAGAGAAGTTACCGCCTGGGCTCCATGGTGACAGCTGGCAGGGGGAGGAAGGAGAGGGGAGGAGAAGCTCCCCACTTCTCAGGTGCTGTCCTTCAAGGGTTGACTTGCCCAGAACAGTGAGAGAAAAAGCTGCTTTATGTGAACTTCTGCAGACTGGGAACTTCTGAGCCCCTCCCCTTACATGCTGGGTATAAAACCCTGAAACTCCCTGAACTCGGGGTTCAGGGGATTGATTGATGACAGCAAAAGCTGTGCCCCCTGAGCCTGGCTGCAGCCAAATAAAACTGTGTCCTGCTGTCTCCGGTGCCCTGCCTCGTCTGTCCCTACAACAGGAGCACTTCCTGTGTGACTGGGGGCAAGTGACCCACCCTCTCTGAACCTCTGTTTCTTCATTTGTAAATAAGAATGATATTAAATGCGTGTGACAGTCCTGGTATTCCCAAGTCCTCTTTTTCTCGTGCCCCCCGTCCAATTAGCTGTAAATTCTGTGGACTTTGCTTTTAAAATGTACCCAGAATCTCTCCAGTTCCGCCACCTGCCAGCCCTGACCCTGCTCCTGTCTCTATTCACCTCCCGCCCACATTGGGGCTCCTGTCCCTGCAGTTCACCACCCACAGCCAAAGGGACCTGGAGCGCCTGGGTCGGCCATGTTCCCTCCGGCTCAGAGCTGGTCCTGAGATTTGTGTACTAATATGAGCCACAGTCCTCTGGTGGCCCATGCGCCCCGCCCCCTCCCTGTGCTCACCCCCCGTCACCCAGGGGCCAGGATGCTGTCCCCAGGTATCCACAGGGTCCCCTCCCTTCAGGGCTCTGCTCAGCAGTACCTTCCCCATAAGTTCTCCCTGATCACTGGGTCACACGTCCCCAGCTGGGGTGAGGCTCAGTGTGGAGCACTTGACGAACAGCCCTGGGTCCTGTCCCCAGCACCCCGAAATATGAAGACAAAGCAGCCCCGACATCTCCACCCCGCTCTACCTTGTGGAGCACGCTTAGATCTTGTGACCACCGTCTGGACGCATTTCACTTATTTTTGGTCCCCTCCATCACCCCTAGGCCACGGGACAGTCTGCGGCTGTCCTGGTGCATAGTAGGTGCTCAGTAAACTGCCCGACCGCCTGGAGGAGGACTGAGAACCACGGGTACAGGCCAGCACCTGGCACAGGAAGCGCATGACAAAGAGCAGGAATGACAGTGACTTAGGCGACCCACCCAGACCCTGGGTGCGCGGGGGGGGGGGGGCAGGGAGGCCCGCCGGGGGGGCTCCTGGCTCCACGCGGCTCCACGCATCTCCGCACATGCGCAGGAGGCTCCGGGTGGCAGGGGGGAGACCTGGGCTTCCTCAGGGCGGAGCGAGCGTGGTTTGGAAGGCTACACAGATGGCATGCGACGCAGCAGAGGACGCGGGAGGCTTTGTGACCTGCTTTTCCTGCCTCATGAAATTCACATGGTCACATTGTGCATCCAGGCAATCACTGAGCTGCACCCTCCCC